CTCTTAGCAGAAGGAAAACCGCTCTCGGGGTGTAGAGTTCCCGTCAAGCCACAAGGGAAGCAAGGGTGATCGTTACCTATTTATCTCACTGGATTTATGGCACATTGAAGCCCTATGCTTGAAACACAGCCTTCAAGTGAATTCCTTCTATGTAATAAATCGCTTGGTTAAAACTTAACATATAGTGATTTACAGATGCCACTTTCGGAAACAATAATAATGTTTAAGTCAGTTGAAGTTTTTCGTTCTCATTTTTGTCGTATTTCTCAAATTGATAGACATCGTAATCATCAAAATTTGGTGAAATTTTCACTTTTTAAGTATGTAAGTAAAACAGGGGGTGTTTAATTTCAACTTGAGTCATTTATTTTACAATAATTTTATAGTTTATTTGACAGAAGTTTTGTCAGAGAGAGAAGTTAATTTCCATAAGTTAACGCAACGTCCTTATCAGACTTGCTCCAAGGCTGTACTGTTAGCTTCGTCCACAAATGTACAGTTATTTATTTGCATATGAAGCAGTGTCTAGATAAACTGAAAGTAAGAGCCACATTGTTTTATATGGGTAAATAGTTCTTAGTATTTATATAATCAAGGAATTATGATTTAAACTAGTAATCAGTTCATTTGACTCCTGCATGATAACGTCTCCAGATTGTGCGTATGTGAATTCAATATACTCAGAATATTATAAAATACTAAGAAAATTATCCCGAGACAGTCAAATTTAGGGTTGCCCCATAAATCTAAATCATATATGACTAAACGAAATATTTCAAAAACACACTTAGGATATTTTAACAGGAAATAATAAGACAGCAGATCATATTTAGTACATGAAATGATTATAAAGCAAAACCCTCAAGAAAAATGACTTTCGATCATGCAAAGCATTTTCACATGCTCATAACTGAGTGTCTTCCTTATTAAGAGTCCCCTTTTCTTTATAAATCCAAGTAATGCCTTTCGAGCGATACCCCTGATAGGCAGCCATTACTATGTGATGTTATTAACCTGATCTCATTCCACGGGATTAACGGACATGGTGTTTCGTGGTTGTTAACGATGTCGCACACCAGCATGACCCTCATCGGCGTTATAATGGTAATTAACTCTTGGGCGTTGTTTTTGCGACATTGATAACGACTAGCATGCAACAAGTTTATAATTCTGGGAAATATGCTTGCACTTCCGGTTTGGTTATCTGATATGATACCTTGTAGGTTTTGAACGAGATATTAATATAGGTGTCGATGTTGAGTTTTATATGCAAGTAGATTCCTTTGTATTATGTTTTCGTTTTAGAAAGTAATGTAAGTTTAATGTGGATAATTCATATATAATTTCCCTCGGGAGTTGACCTATATAATGTTCTTGCTGTGTCAAACCAATTGAAAACAGTTTGAAATACACACTGCGTGGTGATGAGTGATGACAGTGGTGATGGTGGCTGTAATGGTAGTGATGGGACGTTAGAATGTGACATTTAACATCCATGTCAAGCACACTGACTGACTGAATATAAAATGTATTGACATGCGCAGATGGGAAATATTCTGTCATTTACAACACCAAGCTGTCGTTGAGCGCATGTGACAGGTAGGCATTCTTGATTTCACCATTGAAATTGATAACAATATATTGCTGAAATATATCACAAAACACGTTTATGACTCTTTGTGTAATTTAACAGTTAAGAGTTTTAGAATATTTGTTAATTGCACATTTATGCGTTCTTCTGGACACGGAAAGGGTTAACTTACGAGTGCACATTGATTAATTTTAACGACGCTTGAAAACTGCTGTCATGAAATCAGCAACTGATATCAACATTTCCAATATACGCATATCTATTTCATCACTGATATTCACTCATTTTAGAAGGACGTGGGGCAAATGTCGCTCCCAAGTTGAAATTGACAACCTCAATTGACCATGAAGAATACATTTTCAAATGATGGTTTCGGATTTCATAAAATGTACACAAGATGTGCCGTCCAAGTACATACACCGATCTCCACAAACAAGAGTAATCTTTTCCCAAGACGGTGTCATCCTTGCTGCGATTCCTGGGATTCTCATTTACGTATCGCCAGCCGTCAAAAACACTAGGAATACTGTTGCATTGTGTATATCAGTGGGATGTTAAACTAATTAACACGCCATTAATCTTTGGCGAGTTCCTGCTTTCTATGAGTGAAATACGCACCAAGTTAAAAACAGGCAGCAAAAAAAATGAGAAAAAATGATTTCACTGTAAATGATGAAGGCACGTGACCTGTACCCGTAGACTTTGACATTTATTTACGCGGAGACCGAGGATCAGCGAAGGCGTCAAAAACATGAAGTAGAGAAGAGAGGTAATGTTGCAGATGTTAGCTGTGTGCGTGCGTGCGTGCGTGCGTGCGTGCGTGCGTGTGTGCGTGTGTGTGTGTGTGTGTGTGTGTGTGCGTGTGTGTGTGTGTGTATATGTGTGTTTATGTGGATCTTGATAACCACTGTCCGTGTAGAGGTATGTCCATTCTGTATGGATTATGTCATGGACGAGGCGACATGCTGATTCTTCATCTGTCGTGTTTATCAGTGTGCCCAAACGTGTTACTAATTGGTTTCTATGAATATTTCAAATCAACCTCCTTCATGTGTACAACAAACCGGCTCCTCGCAACACATGCAACACACCGAAACGCAACCACAACCTCTCCCCAACACATGCAACTTAAGACAACCACAACCTCCTACCAACACAAGGTACGTAACACAACCACAACCACCCCCCAACACATGCAACTTAGACAGCCACAACCTCCTCCCACCACATGCAACCCCTCGAACATAACCTCCCAATTGCTCCCCTTGTCGATATCTCCCCCTCCAATATGGCTCCCGTTTTCCCTCCCAGACGCTCCCAATCAAACTTGAAACTCATGAAGTTGAAATTGACACCTTGGGTGTTTACTTAAAGCGATGTCACTCTGTCTTAGACCGGTCATTGATAATTGGAAATTCAAATTTGACCAAGGCTAGTCCAGGCTCGGGTGTCCGCGACATCTCGACAAGCGAAACACAACGTGTATTGTTACCCGCGCGCAAGTCCAGAGAAGCAATACCCTTCGTTTATTTAGTAGACGTAATGCCAAGAGGGTTTCGGAAGCCAGACCAAGTGTGATAGCGTTTCTAGTCCAGATTCTGCTCCTGTGGGGGTTAGATCAATTAGAATAGGCAACTCATACCTTCATTTGGGAAATGAATTTGACTTCTTTCGGAATGGCTCCCTCGTATCAATTCCAAGAAAAACATACGTACAAACACCATAGCGAGATATTTAACTACAGCCGGCATTTATACCACAGGATCAATTTCAGATTGCCTGACGCTGGGTTTCAACTAACGCTGCCATCGTCTTAATTATAAACTATCTGACATCGTCTTCATTAATTCGGCCCGTTCTTAGGGGAGGGTGTCGGTTACGGGTTATTTTGACTACGATGTAAGAAGCTCAACGACGTTACGTCGGCGACTGTGTTAAACGTCACTGACGTTGATTAGCGTTAGATAAACAGAGCGACGTCATGTTATTTGACCCAACGCTACTCCGGGCTTTTGTTGCTGGAAGCGGAGAGGTATATTGTTTCTCCGCCCTGACATTTATCAACGATCAATGTAAGATAAAGCTGCTATGTACAAAGCGTGGCAATGGTTAAGATAGATATTCTTGATTAGAAAGCGAGAGCCCTGTGTTATCGATGGCAACAACTTTCGTATTGATTAGTGCGTGGATAATAGTGTCACGTTTTGCACGTGCAAGATGAAGGATTGTTTGATATGCATAAGTGAATTAAGGCATTTCTCTAGTTTTAAATGGAGTTGATATGACTTCAAACGAAGAGGCTCGGGACATTTAGTATTTCTCTCACTGGACCACGCCGGAAGAGCTAAGCCTTTTCATGGTGTATGGCATCGAGAAGCAAAACGTCCAATTTCATTTATAAGGCCGTTTAGTGTAAAGCATGTAGTTATTTATACCTATTTTCTACTAAAGGTTTTCGTGTAGTACCACACCTAATAGCGTGTCGGTGGGTTGTATTACAAAGAAACTGTTTGGCATGCATTTGCGGCTTGGTGCTACGGGTATTTGGCTGGCACTGGGGTCTCACGTGAGCGTGTTTATGGGAAATTAGAATGGAAACCATTGTATAGCTAGGAACATTAGCATGGCTAAGACATGTTCATTTAAAATGAGGTACAGCGTGCTTAATAATTCATCATAATTATAATGCGAACGACAAGGTATTGGCAACATGCGACATCTGGGCTGATAGCTGAGATTACTCTTTTTGTACACTATGAGTTGAACCTAACATGTTGTTGATAACAGTGGGTGTGAGTGAGTGAGTTGGTATAGCGCCGCTTTGAGCAGTATGGTCGTTATGTCATGGGTTGATGAGGTGGGACAGCTCAATATGATGGAGGTCTCAGGCAACTGTTGATGAAACCAGAATCCAAGTTCGCCAATGATAATGTTGCTGGGTTTTTCAGCACCATAATCTTGGCCAACTGGGATTCGAACCAGTCACAGGGAGTCCATGGTACGCTTCTCTACGTAGTCAATTGCAGCACTCTAAACGACCGATCCACTCAGACCTCAGACCCGGTTTTTCAAGGGCCGCCCACTATATGGAATATTACTGACAATAAACAAAGTCGTCAAAACTCCTGCAAAACCAATATCCAATAATGACAATGCCCTCCACATCCGCCATGTACATTTTCGTCATTTTAGTATGGAGATAATGCCAAACCTATACATTTATCCTGTACAAATATATTGCTGCAAACTACATCCATTATAGACGATGCTGGTTGAGTGAGTGAGTGGGTGGACAAGCATTATACCTCTCTGCCATATAGATTAATACACTCTTCATATTAAAGTATTTGTTGTCATGTTTGTTGTCACGATGAAGTACTTATAATTTGTAACTTTTATTTTTCATCAGATACGTTGGAGAGTTGGAGATCTATGCATAAATTTGCAGAAGGTTAGTTCCTTGTTCCCATTTAGATGGTATACCCTTTTAGTCCTGTGGCTGCACCCCTCTGTACCTTCCTCCACCTGCACACCTGCACACTCTTCCCCTGGACTCACTAGTTTCATTAAAATCATATTTAAAGAATTAACAAAAGAGAAGCTTGATGTGGATTATCATACAATAAAATGTTCGAGTATTTCTGAAGAACAGTAAATGAAAAGTAATTTATATATCATGCTCAAATGTTTAATAATTCGTGAAATTTCAATATATTGCAAATTTTGTTATTCAGTAATATACAAGTTTTATTTGTATATATTAAAGGCGTTTTTGATGAAATAATGTACTTTTCCGTATGACTATTGAAATTGAGTTTCATAATCATTGGAATTCTAAGTCGCTAAGTGAAGAATTGTGTTATCATACGTGTTATCGCCATCTCTGCGAGTAGTTTCCATAGTGATCCTCTCAGCATCCTGATGCGTTTCCCCTTTCCTCTCTTGCATGTTGACACTACTTAGTTTTCTAGAAAATGCATGTTTATTTTGTTGTTATATTCATATCATATGTGTTCAAAATACATTCTTAATATACACTTCGCGTTGACATAGTGTGTTGTTGTTTAGTTTCATGTTGATGCATGAGAAATTCATATGCATTTAATCCCGCAAAGAACGTAGTATGTTTGATTTACATACTAAAACCCCAGTCACAATGATATGCCATTTGTCTTGTAAATAATGTTTAATTGGGCATCGTTTGGTTGAAGAGATGCATTACATGCCCCAAGAAAATATTTGTCAATTATTTGGCTTCTGGTCATGGAATCGTGGCACGATTCTGTTTCACGCATAATCCTTTCATTGGGATACATGTTTTCATGGTTAATAATTCATGTCGCAATTGTCAAAGTCAATATTTTCTGTAACTCATCTCGAGAGCCGATGCAGAAATGAGCTAAATTGACCAGGTGTTCAAATATTTAGTTTGTTGAAATCTCACCACCCAGGTAAAATATTCAGAAGGTCTAAATCTCACAGGCATAATTGTACCGCCCGGATCGATTCATATGGGTAAACACAAAACCATACCACCGTCTTTTTGATTCGTCACTTTAGCAAATACATCTATCAATTCTCTAAAAAGACGTTCGCCATTAAGAGTCATAGATACGAGTCTAGTTTCATTTTTGAAAATCCTAAGGGATTTATATAGGTAATATTCTATACTTTGAACTTATAATTGGTAATCGAAGCTTCTACTTTGTACATATTTCATTTCCAAAGCGTCTTTAAATGCCTATTGAAACTATGTAGATATCTTTTAAAGAAACTCTGTAGCGTTTTCTCTTTTAGGAATTCGACTTTGGTCTTGTATGTCAATAAAATGATACACCAGTAAGCTGTTTAGTATATAAACTTTGCAAATGCATCCAAGAAAACCTGGAATATCTGGTTATGTTGAAATGTCAGCTTTGGGGATTAATAACTGATTTTAAGCTGGAACTTGAAAAATACAGTTCACATTTCGGAACTTGAAATATACTTTAATTTTTCAACGTATGTGCGGATAATTTCTCTAAAACAATACCGCTTCTGGTTTGTCGTACGAAATCTTATACCTTTGTGTGTGATAGGCTGGAAGGGGCTGGGTAGGAGTTAGATTCTTTTGTTTCAATGAGGTAGTTGATATTGAACAATATTGGTGTCATTCTTTCAACTGCTTCCTTGATGCTGTGCCTTGTTTTCTATTTCCAAATGTATACAAAGACAAAGTTTCTTCGATTCATCTAAACCTGTGAGATGACAGGTGAAATAGACAATTAATGTATACTTTTAACGAGTTTTGTGTAAAACAGGTGACCCAAATTGAATGTACAATGTATAAATGACACCGATTCACATGTTACTGTGTACACCATTTGTAAAAATATAATAGTTCTTTGTTTTTTCTGAAGTAAGGTTCTTCCTTCATTTAAGTAAATTAACGACTAATTATGCATGTGTAAGATACAAGCTTCATGTGTTCAAAAGTATGATAAAGTACAATATTTGTAACAGTTCTCGTGACACCTGGTGTCATTTTTCATTTCAAATTCGTAGGTGGCGATGTACCAGTTGTTCCAGGAAGAACCAAATATGTCATGGGCAGTATTTTATGTTTTCTATAAAGTAAGCAGACAAGTATTATTTCTTTTCAGTGAGTGGAAATGGCATTTCTTATCTGGGTTTTTTTTTTTTTATCAGGATGACATATTTTGGAATTATTCGATAGTTGAAAATCTTGTTTACGGCCAGTGAAACAAAAACGTTGTGAAGACTCAGCTTAATTTGCGCCTTTCCATTTTGATTGTATGAAAATTATAACATTTTCTGAGACATGTACAATTGATATAACACAAAAAGATATAAACAGCGACAGCAAATAGGAAAAAGAAATGTATGACTGTTTGATGACGTTTAACAAATAGTGTATCCTGAAAGCATTACAGATGCTATAACCCTAACGACTATTTGGTTCTACTCTAGACTCACTAAGATGGTGTAACGCGCTACAAGTAACATTCATTGTAAGCTTCGGGCTGTTTAAATGTTGTCAAAACTCTGCCTCAAATCCAAACTATTCTAAAGTCTTTATTGTCGTGTAAGGTGCAGATATCGTGTCGCTAGCACGTTCTATTCATCACGGATGAGTGGATAGGAAAATAGTCTTTCCTCTCTAAATAGCAAACCAAAAGCGAACGGTCCCACCAAGCAGAAAAGTAGCAGGAAACACGAGCTCCACGCTCATTGTACTATAAATCTAGCTGCGGCAGAGTGAGGGACTTTAGATTTGATAAGGGTTAATTTTCAAAACTTTGAAATTTAATATGTCAAAATCAAGTCCGCAGGTCCGTCATCAATATCACTTTTGGTAGTATGGTTTAATTGTCAAAGCGAGCAAACGGCGTGCAGCAACCGTATATTTTGACGGACAGAGTGACAGACGGAAGGACGGGGCAGGTATGAGACAGTTAAATATATTCTCACGCTGGACTTGTTCTTAATAAATATAACCGCCATGTCGTCCTTTTGAAGGCCCCGAGATACAATAGCTATAAGGCCAGTGGTAGGAGAGCCGCATCACAGCGCGTGTACACATAGTAGGGAGATAACATCTAGATTTCGTGGTGATTTGCTTTTCTATAGTATTTGCAGTTACATAAACAGAACGAAAACATCAAAGTTTAAAGATGTTTACTTTACCTCGTTACCATCGGATGTACTAAATGAAGAGCAATTTTCGTTTTTACTGGCTCAAAGATCTTATCTGAAACCTTTAAAATAACACGCCAGACTCGCTGATGCCTAGCTGTAGTTTGTTTTGTTTTGATTGCAGTTTGATAAAATTTGTTTGTTTGTCATTTGTAGTGATTAAAAATAAATAGTGTTTAGTTACAGCTATTGTAGCATTCGGTGACGAAAAGAAAAGGCTTCAATAAAGTAGCGATTTTATCCAGATTTGAGTCAGTTCAAGTCAATTACCGTTTTCAGAATTCCTTCTTTGGAATGTTGTTTAAACGCCCACTTAGTGACTCGATTATGTGAAAGTCTTTTTCTCGCAGACTTTGAAGAGAATACGGAATTTACCGCTGAAAGTGTTTCCATGTTACGGTAGTTAGGGTGTTTTGGTGAAAAAGATTTTTTAGATTTTTTTTAACTATTGAATTACAAGATTAAACTCCATGTATTATATAACTGTTTCTGTAATTGTTTCATTCACTACAGGAAATGGATTGTGTGATATTGATATTTTTATCGCTTTGAGTCCCACCGACGTATTTTACAGTGTTCAATGATGATATGTGTTCTAAAATCAATTGTCAGTCCACTCACGCACCGGGTCGGGGTTCGAATCCAAAATTGTAGGTGTCAAATCATACGTCTCAATTGCTTGTTGTATTTTTTCTCTCGACATAATACCCATATGTGTAAGAGAAAATTAGATGTTTCAGTATTGCTTTGGTAATAAGGATCTTAAATATAGATGATAAGCGAATAGCAACGTCGGCTCAATATTATTGTATTATTATTGTATCTCGCCGCGACAATCACGACACAGACAGAGTGGAAAACAACATTAAACTTCAGGTAACTCAATATCACCTCTCTCTATTCACAGAGTAGCGAGTAGACTCGCTTCTAAATATCATTAGCGACTGCCATTGAAGTTTATTAACTCCAAACTGACAGGACCGTTTATGTGTATATCAAGATAATAACTTTCGCAAAAATTACACTAGTTGATAAATAAGCACAATTGGGGAGATTTTTATCATTTCTTACAATGACTTTCGGCCAAAGTGTGATTACCGTAAAACTATAAACCCGCCGGCTCGAATATCATGGCATTTGGGGGGGATATGTCAGGCTTTTGAATGGCGATGAAAAATCGGCGAGGTAATGACGCAGCAGAGGAATTGAAGAGAGAATTCCGTGTAGGGACTCGTTACGTCAAAGGCAATTGAAAAAAGTTAGCTTTTCGTTTGCAGGGAGGGAAGCGGGATATACGTACAATAAATCACATGACTTAACGGAAGACTGAACAGCCTTTTGAGTAGCGAGGATTGAAACATAGGCTCTTTATGTGTTTTTAGTTATTTCCCGGACGGGGAGAGGCTGTGGCAGGCAAAACAAATACAGGGGGCGCATGCTGTGGGTGGGGGAACTGTAAGGAAATGTATACCCCAAACGGCTCTATGATAGTCATTTGTTATGTAAAACTGACATTTTGACAGGTGCCGTTTCCCCGCCCAGGTATAAGCGTAAGGAAATCTACAACTGTCAATCAGTGATTGACATGGATGTCGTTTAGTACCTCTTTAGGAAGGATTTGGATTGTTCATTAAGTTTTTAAATTTAGTTTTAACATATGTTTCATTTCCATGTCTTTATTCATATTTCAATGTCTATTTTCAATTTTTTAAACGTTAACTGCTGTTGTCAATGATATGAAGTTCTGTTAAAATA